AGTTTTAGAATTTTTGAAAAATATAAAGCAAAAAATAATTTTCTATAAGCCCATCACTAAGAGAAAGTCACTGGATATTTTGGGTTATTTTCTTTCAGTCTCTGAGTCTTTGTATTTTTCCTTTTGCTAATATCTGACAGATATTTTGAAACAAACCTCTGAATGAAATATAATTGTTTTGTCTTTGGTGAAAAGAAGCTTTGCCTTGGGGCTCCAGATTGGGCTTATGATATGTCTTTTTTTTTTTTTAATTAAAACAAAAATAAAGTCAATAGCTAATATTTACTAAAAAATGTACCATGCCGGGAGGCTGAGGCAGGAGAATGGCGTGAACCCAGGAGGCGGAGCTTGCAGTGAGCCGAGATCGCACCACTGCACTCCAGCCTGGTCGACAGAGTGAGACTCCGTCTCAAATAAATAAATAAATAAATAAATAAATAAATAAATAAATAAAATAAAATAAAAGATGTACCGTGCATGCCAGGCATGTTACATGCATCATATAATTTAAACGAATAGTAAGAACTATTGTAATTCCCATTTTACAAAGAGAAAAATGAAGCATAGAGAGGTTTAGTAAGTTGCTGAGGAGTTAGGAAGAGGTAAGACTGTTAATCAAACTCAAAGAATTTGATAAATACAGAGCCAATATCCAACCAAGTCTCCATGGAAGACTCCCTAAGAGTGACTCTTTGGATTTCTGTTAAATTTGGATATGTGTGTGTGCACACATGCATATGTGTATAGGGGTGTGTGTGTGTGTGTGTATGTGTTGGCTCATATATCAGAGGCTCATATACTTCCATTACTCTGACCTCAGAATAAAAGGTATACCTGGCCCCTTCTAGGTAAATTGAAAGCTTGGATGGGAGTAGTCCCAAGGCTAATGTGAATGTGCAATGGGGCTTAGGCTGTAAAAATATCGTATCTTCATATCTTTGAGGGGAGGCAGTCGATTCATCCACTCAGACATGCCTTGTGTTTTTATAGATTCAGAGATTCTCTCTGCAGCCATTGTCTAACCTACCCAAGCCTCAACAGGCTGCAATTGGAGCAAAGAACCCCCGAGTCCCAGAGTCATCGGTGTCTGAGTACATGTACTTCTTTCTGTATCTGAGCACATGAACAGGTTTGGGTAAGCCAGGTGAACTTTGTTAATAAAAATATAATTTTATCTTACATTTACCATTTGCTGAGCCCTCATTATGTATTTTTCGCTAGACTAAGTATATGTTTTACAATGCATTATTTCCTATGAGGAAGGTTGTATTGAGATTCCCATTTCAGTGATAATAAAACTGAGGCAGAAAGAGGTTCAGGAACTTGCTTGGGTCAGAGATGGAGATAAGAATGATGGAGTTGCCCATGCTTTCAAACTGAGGACTACAAAGTACATCATCCATACTTTTTCTCTCTCCTTTAGCACTCCCCAACATTTAAAGGCTTTCTTATTTTCCTTTGCTAACTCATGTAATACGACAATATTTAGGGCCAGTGGAGGAAATATATTTGATATAGAATCCACCAGATAATGATACAGCCAATCAGATGACTCTTATCTTTTGTAAGGACGTTGTTTCCTTCAGTTTCTCCCACCAGTCATGCCAAATTTGGATTGGATCTTTTGCCAACTCCTGGTTCCACCCAGTTGGTGTTCAGGAATGGTTTATGACCCGAAGAAGCAAAGCTTTAACTGGCTTGTTCTGGCACTGCATGTTGCAGTCCTAGGAGGAAACTTATATGGTTACTAGTTTATAAAAACAAGGAAATGAAAACCATGCTTAATAGCAAAGAGGACTGCCAGTGATTGGAGCCAGCCATTAACCTTTCAAAATACGATGGGAGATGGGTGTGGGGCAAGGAATAGGTCAGGGGAAGGATGAATCAGAGTGTGAAGGCAGCTTAAGCCAAAGGATTGTCCAACAAATAGACTCTAGACACTTAATAAACTCTAGTAACTCCGTAACAGATGGAGAGGAAGATATCTTTGAGTTAATTTTTCTTTAATTCCTGCTCATTGGAAGCTGAGGTACAGTCATCCTTGGTGGCATTGACGATTGAAATGACATGCTAATTAGGACAGACCAAAGTGGGTGTGGAAGTGAATGCACCTGTTGCTGGGGGGACCCACTCACTCCCTTGGCCTTAAACCAGCACTTCACTGTAATACCCTCCCCATTGTATTGTTGGTATGGCTTTCAAACACTGTCTTTGGGTTTTTTTTCACTATTCCAGGTTCTACTAAAGGCCTGGATCTGCATAATATCGCAGATACATGATGAGTAGGAGTTAGCAAGAGAATAATGTTGTCTATGATGAGATTGTAGAACACAGTTCTTAAGAAAAGGGAGCTAGTGAATTAATGGCAGGGGCGGGAGGGAGGGATAACCCTCTAAGCACATTTCTGAGTCCTTGATTATTGATGCAGAGATAAAATGTGCACATAAGAAAGAGAGTAAAGTAAAAATGGAAGGGAATAAGTTCATAATTTTTCCACTCTTAAGTTCTTTAACCTGGATTAAGGAATGGGTTTTAAGTGTGGTTAAAATTTTTTGCTTTACCTTAATGTGTCTGTGATAGTTCTTTCACCAAGGGATGGGTATTGCAGAGAGAAGAATCATGTACTTTCTGGGAAATGACACCAATGCACCATTTTTTCTTAAGTTAAAAGAAAAAATTATGACAAGGCAAGAAAAAATAATTTCACAGTAGTGTCTTTGAAATTCCTCTGCATATATTTTGTCAGGCTCTAACGGCAACACTTGTCTGGGGAAGACGGCCCTGTCCTTGTACTCCATGTGTAGGCCTAAAATTAGTCTCCATAGTCACCCAAATATCACAAAATGCTGTTCTTGTTATTCCCACCCTTCACAAATGGGCCGTGTAACAGTGGAACTAAGTAGTCAATCTGAGACAGCTTTACCAGTCATGATGCTGACCTCTTTCTTGACAGGATCTGTTGGAACTTGCTGTGATTCCCTTTTATACAGACAGAAAAGTGGCACTGAACCTGTATCTCAGGCAAATTATTGTCATTGACCAGGCTTCTATGACTGTAAAACAAAACAACTAATGACCCAAAAGGGGTATAAATTCTCAAAAAATAGGACTATTGGCCAAATCCAGAACTGACTGTAGAGTACTAGCAGTTCCTCTCAGTGACAACATGAATCTTCCAGAGATTCGGTGGTGATTAGCTTAATGGGGAACGTGTGTTTCTGGGCTGCTGGGGCACCCCTGGATTTACATTTCTAAAGAATTCATAGAGTCATTTTATATGTCAGAGTAAATGGCACTGGGGATAAGAAGAATGGTGACTTTTTGTAGCAGTCTAAGGCTGGGCTTTACTCAAAGTGTTTTCTTATGGGGGAATGTAGTCTGCACTATGAAAACAACCAGACTTTCCACTCATGGTTTGCTGTTCAGTGCTGAAGTTTCATGACCATTCCTTCTGCCTTTGTGTTTGGCATTGTCATTCCTCCGGAACATCTCTGTAAGCAAACATAGGTTTCAATGACTTTGTCTCCCTGCTTTTATTAGTAAGATTATACATTTGTAATTCAGAGGATTTAAGTGTTTACTTATTGTCTTAAAAATCAAGAGAGGAGGAGTAACGTCAACAAGGTGGTGGAGTAGGAATTCGTAGTTCTTGTTCTTCCACAGAAACACCGATTTAATGATACATGCACCAAAATACCTTTATAAGAATGTTGAAATCTAGTTAAGACATTTCAGTACTCAAGGCAAGCACAAAGAATAGCCACATTGAAACAGGTTAATAGGGCAATTTCACTTTACCTACCCCCTTTCCCATGGAGAGAAAGTCCTGGCTCACAACTTCTTTCTTGAAGTGGGGGATACCTGGGGAATTTTCTGTCTCCCCTCATTCAAAGTGCTAATGAAACAGGCATAGTTTGAATGCCTGGAAGCAGCTATGAGACACATGAAGAAACAGGGAAATATGGCCCAAAGAAGGGAACAAAATACATACATAACTGATAGTAAAGAAACTGAGGCACATGAATTACCCAAAAATAATAAAAAATAACTGTTATAAAAATGCTTTATGAGCTAAAAAATAATACATGAACAAAATAAGAATATCAATAGAGTTGGAAATACAAAAAAAGAACAAATCAAACAGAAACTGTGAACATGAAGAATACAATACTGAACAAAAAAATTCACTGGAGGGATCAATAGTAGACTTGATCAAGCAAAATAATCAATAAGCTTAAAGAGAAGTCATTTGAAATTACGCAGTCAGAAATCAAACATTTTTTAAAAACTGGAAAAGAGTAAAGAAAGCCTAAGGGACTTATGAGATATCATCAAGCAGATCAATATACACATTTATACATTACAGGAATTTCAGAGGAGGGAAAAAAATGAGAAGAAAGTTTATTTAAATAAATAATGGCTGAAAACTTCCCAAATGGGAAGAAAATGGACATTCAGATTCAGAGTCATTTTATTAAGAAAACTGGTCAATTCATTGAGAGGATATAACAGTTAAAAATATATATGCACCCATCATTTCAGCATCTGGATATATAAAGCAAATATTAAGAGAAATAAAAGGAGAAATAGATAGCAATACAGTAATAGTAGAGCACATCAATACCCCACTTTTGACAATGAGTAGACCATCCAGACCAAATATCAATAAAGAAATAGTGAACTTGAATAATACTTGAACAATATGACATAACAGACATAAGCAGAATATTTCATGTAACAATAGCAAAAAACACATTTTTCTCAAATGCACATGGAACATTGTCTGGGATAGATCATATGTTAGGCCACAAAACAAGTACTAACAAATTTTAAAAGATTGTAATCATGTCAAGTATCTTTTCAAACCACAGTAGTATAAAACTAAAAGTCAATAACAGAATAAAAATTGTAAAATTTATAAATATGTGAAAATTAACTAACAGGCTCCTGAAATTAGAAAAGAAAATCTTGGTATAAGTGAAAATGGAAGCATAACATACCAGTATTATGGGTTGCAGCAAAAGCAAATCCAACAAGGCAGTTTGTAGTGATAAATGCCTACATTAAGAAAAAAGAAAGACCTCAGATACAATGTAACTTTACACCTCAAGGAACTACAAAAAGAGTGAACTAAGTTTAAATTTAGCAGAAGAACATAATAAATACCAGAGCATAAATAAATAAGACAGATTAGAAAAATTAAAAATAAAACAATACAACTCAAGGCTGATTTTTGGTTTTTTGAAAGATAAAATTGACAAGTCTTTAGCTAGACCAAATAAGAAAAAAGATGAAAGACTGAAATAAATAAAATCAGAAATGAAATAGGGCCCATTACAACTGATGCTACAGAAACTAAAGGATTATAAGAGAGTACTAAGAACAATTATATTGCCAACAAATTGTATAACCAACAGAAATGAATAAATTCCTAGGAATTTATTCACCTACCTTATTACCTTACCAAGACAGGATTACGAATAAATAGAAAATACGAACAGACCTATAACTAGCAAAAAGATTAAATCCATAATCAAAGAACCTCACAACAACAACAACAAAAAATCAAGACCAGATGGTTTCACTGGTGAATTACTGCAAATACTTAAAGAAGAATTGCAGTTTTTCTCAAATTTCTTCCAAAACATTTAAGGGGAAAGAATACTTCCAAACTAATTTTGAGGCCAGAATTATCCTGATGACAAAGAAAAGAAAACTAAAGGCCAATATTCCTGATGAATATAGATGCAAATATCTTCAACAAAATACAAGAAAACCAAATTCAACAGCACATTAAAAGTATCATACACTATGTCAATTGGGATTTATTTGTGTAATTCAAGGATGGTTCAGCAAATGAAAATCAATCTGTAATATACCATGTTAACAGAATGAAATATAAAAACCACATGACCATCTCAATAGATGTGTAAAAGGCACTTGACAAAATTAAACACTCATTAATGATTTAAAACCCACTTAAGTAACTACCTGTAGAATGAAATTATATTGACCTCATAAAGTTTATATATGAAAAACTCATTGTTAGCTTCATATTCAATGCTGAAAAATGGAGAGCTTTTCCTCTAAGATCAGGAATAAGACAAGGATACTTACCCTCACCACTTCTAATCACCATAGTATTGGAAGTACTAGCTAGAGCAATTAGGCAATAAGAAGAAATAAAATGCACCCAAGTTGGAAGGGAAGTAAAATTGTCTTTGTTCACAAATGACATGATCTTATATGTAGAAAATCATAAGGATTTCACAAAAACAAAAAGCAAAAACAAGAATAAAATTGTTAGAACTAATAGCAAATTTATGAATAACAGGATGCAAAAATCAACATACAAAGATCAGTTGTATTTTTATATACCAACAATGAACAATCAAAGGGAAATTAAGAAAACAATTCCATTTAAAATAGCATCAATAAGAACAAAATATTTAGGAAAAATCTTAACCAAGGAGACAAAAGGCTTATACATTGAAAATTGCAAAACATTTCTGAAATAAATTAGAGAAGATACAAATAAATGGAAGACATCTAGTGCTCATGGATTTGAAGATGTAATATTGTTATATTTGAAGACAAAAATAAAATAAATAAAATAAATGGAAAGATATCCCATGCTCTTGGATTGGAAAGATTAATATTATTAAAATGGCCATACTATCCAAAGTAATCTAAAGATTCAATACAATCTCTATCAAAATCCTGGTGGCATTTTTTACAGAAATATAAAAACCATAAAGACATATGCATTTGTATGTTTATTGTAGCACTTCACAATAGCAAAGACATGGAAGCAGTCTAAATGCCCATCAACAGTAGACTGGATAAAGAAAATGTGGTACATATACACCATGGAATTCCACACAGCCATAAAAAAGAACAAGATCATGTCCTTTGTTGAAACATGGATGAAACCAAAGGCCATTATTTTCAGCAAACTAATGAAGGATCAGGAAACCAAATACTACATGTTCTCACTTAAAAATGGGACCTAAATAATGAGAACACATGGACAGAAAGAAGGGAACAACAGATGCTGCGGCCTGTTTGAGACTAGAGGTGGGAAGTGGGAAAGGTTTGCGGAAAAAAAACCTATCAGTTACTATGCTTAGTCCCCGGGTGACAAAATAATCTGTACAGAAAACACCCGAGTTATGAGTTTACCTATATAACCAACTTGCACATGTACCCATGAACCTAAAATAAAAGTTAAAATTTTTTTTAAAATACAAAAACAATTCTAAAGTTTATAGAACCACAAGGATTCCAAATAGCCAAAACAACCTTGAGAAAGAAGAACAAAGATGGAAGCCCCACACTTCCTAATTTCAAAATATATTACAAACCTGCAGTAATCAAAATGATATGATACGGTCATTAGTGACAGACCAGTTATAGATCAGAATATGGAGATCAGAAATAACTTACACATATATGGCTTTATAAGTCATGGTTCTCCAGAAAAATAGTACCAGACAGATATTTATTATGAGGGATGGGCTCACTTGATTATGGGGGCTGAGAAATTCCATAATCTGCCATCTGCAAGCTGAGGTCCATGAAAGCCAGTGGTATAGTGCCAGTTCAAACCCAAAGGCCTGAGAACCAGGAGAGCCACTGTTATAATTTCTAGCCCAAGTCCTAAGGCTCAAGAACCAGCAGTGCTGGCATCCCAGGGCAGGAGAAGATGGATGTTCCAGCTCAAATAGCGAATTTGCCCTTCCTTCATCTTTCTGTTCTATTCAGGAACTCAAAGGATTAGCTGATACTCACCCATATTGGAAGGGTGATTTTTACTTAGTTTCCTAAGGTAAGTGCCAATCTATCCTGGGAATACACACACACACACACACACACACGCACGCACACACACCCACACTCAGAAATTATGTTTTACCAGTTTTGTGGGCATCCCTTAACCCAGTCAAGTTGACACATTAAAAGTAACCATCACAATGGTCAAACAATCTTCAATAATGGTGTTAAGACTACAAAATGGGGAAAGGATAGTCTCTTCAACAAACGACATTGAGAAAACTAGATATCCCCATGTTAAAGAATGAAATTGAACACCAACCTTATGCCATATACAAAAATCAACTGAAAATGAATGAAAGAATTAAATGCAAGACCAGAAATAATAAAACTCCTAGAAGAACTTACAGGAGAAAATCCTCATAACATTGGTCTTGGCAATAATTTCTTGGATTTGACATCAAAAGCCCAGGGAACAAAAGCAAAAGTAGACAACTGAAACTACATCAAACTAAAAACCTTCTACACAGAAAAGGAAACCATCCAGAGAGTGAAAAGACAACCTACAAAATGAAAGAAAATATTTGAAAACCATATATTTGATGAGAGGTTAATATATAAGAAACTCCTATAGCTCAAAAGTTTAAAAACAGTAACTTGATTTTAAAATGAACAAAGGACTTGAATAGACGTTTCTCAAAAGAAAACATACAAACAATCAAGAGGTATATAAAAAGATGCTCAACATCACTAATCAGGGAAATGCAAATAAAAACCACAATGAGGTATCACCTGACACCTATTAGGATTTTCTTTTTAAAAAAAAAAAAAAACAAAAAACAGAAAATAGCAAGTATTGTGAATATGTGGACAAATTGGAACCCTTGTGGACCACTGATGGCAAAGTAAAATTGTTAATTGTCTACGTAAAACAGTATGGGGTTCCTCCCAAAATGAAAAATAGTACAGCAATATGATCCAGCAATTCCACTTCTGGGTGTTTATCTAAAAGAAATCAGGATCCCGAAGAGCTGGTTGTACTCTCATACTCATTGCAGCATTATTTGCAACAGCTAAGAGCTGAAAACAATGTAAAAACACATCAATGGATAAATGCACAAAGAAAATTTGATTGTGGTGCATACACACACACACACACACACACACACACACACACAATGGATGTGCTTATCCAGCCATCAAAAAGAAATTCTGTCATTTGCTACAACACAGATGAACCTGGGGGACATTGTGCTGAAGGGGATAGGACAAACACTGCGTGATTTTACTTACATGAGGTATCTAAAGTAGTCAAATTGATAAGTAAAGAACATTGAATGGTGTTTCCTTGCGGCTAGAGGAGAGGGTGAAATAAGGAGCCGCTGTTCAATGGGACTAGCGTTCTGGTCATGCAAAATGGATATAGAAATATTTCAAAGTATTGGCCGCGTGCAGTGGCTCACGCCTGTAATCCCAGCACTTTGGGAGATCGAGGCAGGCAGATCACAAGATCAGGAGATCCTACTAAAAATACAAAAAATTAGCTGGGCATGGTGTTGGGCGCCTGTAGTCCCAGCTACTCGGGAGGCTGAGGCAGGAGAATGGCGTGAACCCGGGAGGCGGAGCTTGCAGTGAGCCGAGATTGCGCCACTGCGCTCCAGCCTGGGCAACAGAGCGAGACTCCATCTTAAAAAAAAAAAAAAAGAAATATTTCAAAGTATTTAAACCTTCCTTTTGAATTTTCCAAAATGATTTTTTTCTTTATCTCTAAATTATGACACACAAAAATATACTTTGTATCTAGTAATACTACATACTAAATAATTTTTAATTATTGCATTTCTCCCTCTATTGGTTTGTTTTTAATTTTTAAAACTTTCCTTTTGTTGTATACCCCTATTATTGCAACAGGCGTCTTTGACTTATTACAATTTAATGTCAATTAATAATTTTACAAACTTTCCATATCATGCAAAGACCTTGTAACACTTTAACTTCATTTAACTCTCTACTCGTTGTGATTCGGCTATTGTGTATTTCAATTCTACATATACTTTAAAAGCAACAGACATTTGTATTGGTTTTAAATAATATTTCTTTCTATTTTCCACTATAGTCACTCTTTCTTTTGTTTTTGTTCCTTCTTGCATTATTACATTTGTGTCTAGAATCATTTTTCATCTGCCAAAACAATCCCCTTTTGTATTCCTTTAATGTAAATCTGATAGTGGTAAATTATCAGGAGTCTGTTTTTGTCTTTGAAAAGTATATATTTTATCTTCGTTTTTCACTGATATTTTAATTGAGTATAGAATTCTCAATTAACACTTATCTTTCACTATTTCAAAGATGTGATTCCATTTTTTAATGACCTCTGTTGGTTCTATTGAAAAGTTGGCTGTCATTACTGCTTTTTTTGAAGGTAATGTGTGTTTTTCCTTCTGCTTTAA